GTGTTCCAGAGATAAAAGATCGCCAATGTCAAATCATATGGGAGGGAAAAGCCAAATGGTACGAAATTATGTCTATGTTTCCTACGGAATTAGCTGTTGAATCCAACTCTTAGAACGACAGAACCCCCAAAAAGCACCAAAAGGATCCAAAAGGTAGAGTGTTCCAGAGATAAAAGATCGCCAATGTTTGCAAATCATATAGGAGGGAAAAGCCAAATGGTACGAAATTATGTCTGTGTTTCCTACGGAATTAGCTGCTGAATCCAACACTTAGAACGTCAGAACCCCCAAAAAGCACCAAAAGGTATAGTGTTCCAGAGGTAAAGACCGCCAAGATTTGCAAATCATATGTGAGGGAAAAGCCAAATGGTACGAAATTATGTCTATGTTTCCTACGGAATTAGCTGCTGAATCCAACACTTAGAACGTCAGAACCCCCAAAAAGCACCAAAAGGTATATAATGTTCCAGAGATAAAAGATCGCCAATATTTGCAAATCATATGGGAGGGAAAAGCCAAATGGTACGAAATTATGTCTATGTTTCCTACGGAATTAGTTCCTGAATCCAACACTTAGAACGACAGAACCCCCAAAAAGCAACAAAAGGATCCAAAAGGTAGAGTGTTCCAGAGATAAAAGATCGCCAATGTTTGCAAATCATATAGGAGGGAAAAGCCAAATGGTACGAAATTATGTCTATGTTTCCTACGGCATTAGCTGCTGAGTCCAACACTTAGAACATCAGAACTCAGAACCCCCAAAAAGCACCAAAAGGTATAGTGTTCCAGAGATAAAAGATCGCCAATATTTGCACATCATATGGGAGGGAAAAGCCAAATGGTACGAAATTATGTCTATGTTTCTTACGGCTTAGAATGTCAGACCCCCCAAAAAGCACCAAAAGGTATAGTGTTCCAGGGATAAAAGATCGCCAATATTTGCAAATCATATGGGAGGGAAAAGCCAAATGGTACGAAATTATGTCTACGTTTCCTACGGAATTAGCTGCTGAATCCAACACTTAGAACGTCAGAACCCCCAAAAGCACCAAAAGGTAGAGTGTTTCAGAGATAAAAGATCGCCAATGTTTGCAAATCATATAGGAGGGAAAAGCCAAATGGTACGAAATTATGTCTATGTTTCCTACGGAATTAGCTGCTGAATCCAACACTTAGAACGTCAGAACCACCAAAAAGCACCAAAAGGTATAGTGTTCAAGAGGTAAAGATCGCCAATTCAATATTTGCAAATCATATGGGAGGGAAAAGCCAAATGGTACCAAATTATGTTTATGTTTCCTACGGAATTAGCTGCTGAATCCAACACTTAGAACGTCAGAACCCCCAAAAAGCAACAAAAGGATCCAAAAGGTAGAGTGTTCCAGAGATAAAAGATCGCCAATGTCAAATCATATGGGAGGGAAAAGCCAAATGGTACGAAATTATGTCTATGTTTCCTACGGAATTAGCTGCTGAATCCAACACTTAGAACGTCAGAACCCCCAAAAAGCACCAAAATGCATAGTGTTCAAGAGATAAAGAACGCCAATATTTGCAAAACATATGGGACAGAAAAGCCAAATGGTACGAAATTATGTCTATGTTTCCTACGGAATTAGCTGCTGAATCCAACACTTAGAACGTCAGAACCCCCAAAAAGCACCAAAAGGATCCAAAAGGTATAGTGTTCCAAAGATAAAAAAAACCGCCAATATTTGCAAATCATATGGAAGGGAGAAGCTAAATGGTACGAAATCATGTCTATGTTTCCTACGGAATTAGCTTCTGAATCCAACACTTAGAACGTCAGAACCCCCCAAAAAGCACCAAAAGGCATAGTGTTTCAGAGATAAAAGATCGCCAATATTTGCAAATCATATGGGAGGGAAAAGCCAAATGGTACGAAATTATGCCTATGTTTCCTACGGAACTAGCTACTTAGAACGTGAGAACCACCAAAAAGCACCAAAAGGTATAGTGTTCCAGAGGTAAAGACCGCCAAGATTGGAAAATCATATGGAAGGGAGAAGCTAAATGGTACGAAATCATGTCTATGTTTCCTACGGAATTAGCTGCTGAATCCAACACTTAGAACGTCAGAACCCCCCAAAAAGCACCAAAAGGCATAGTGTTTCAGAGATAAAAGATCGCCAATATTTGCAAATCATATGGGAGGGAAAAGCCAAATGGTACGAAATTATGCCTATGTTTCCTACGGAATTAGCTGCTGAATCCAACACTCAGAACGTCAGAACCCCCAAAAAGCACCAAAAGGATCCAAAAGGTATAGTGTTCACAAGATGAAAGATCGCCAATATTTGCAAATCATATGGAAGGGAGAAGCTAAATGGTACGAAATTATGTCTATGTTTCCTACGGAATTAGTTGCTGAATCCAACACTTAGAACGTCAGAACCCCCCAAAAAGCACCAAAAGGCATAGTGTTTCAGAGATAAAAGATCGCCAATATTTGCAAATCATATGGGAGGGAAAAGCCAAATGGTACGAAATTATGTCTATGTTTCCTACGGAATTAGCTGCTGAATCCAACACTTAGAACGTCAGACCCCCCAAAAAGCACCAAAAGGATCCAAAAGGTATAGTGTTCCAGAGATAAAAGATCGCCAATGTCAAATCATATAGGAGGGAAAAGCCAAATGGTACGAAATTATGTCTATGTTTCCTACGGAATTAGCTGCTGAATCCACCACTTAGAACGTCAGAACCCCAAGAAGCACCAAAAGGATCCAAAAGGTAGAGTGTTCCAAAGATAAAAGATCGCCAATATTTGCAAATCATATGGGAGGGAAAAGCCAAATGGTACGAAATTATGTCTGTGTTTCCTATGGAATTAGCTGCTGAATCCAACACTTAGAACGTCAGAACCACCAAAAAGCACCAAAAGGTATAGTGTTCCAGAGGTAAAGATCGCCAATATTTGCAAATCATATGGGAGGGAAAAGCCAAATGGTACGAAATTATGTCTATGTTTCCTACGGAATTAGCTGCTGAATCCAACACTTAGAGATAAAAGATTTCACAAGCCTTTCCACTATCATCAGTGACCTAGACACGTTCTAAGTGTTAAATCCCCGGTACGTTCTAAGTGATGAATCTTGATATTTGGACGTTCTAAGTGTATGGTTTTCGACGTTCTAAGTGCAAGGCTTAGAACGTAAAAAAAGCAGTAATATTCAGAATTTTTTTTCCAAAATACGTTCTAAGTGATTGTCCGTCACTATATATATATATACACATGATACATACATCTGGGAAAATCTTTGGTTCCTCCCATGTTCTCCCCGCCACGCGCCTCCTCCAAGAGATTGAGGGCCAAAGTCCAGGCCACGCGGCTGCAGGCATCAGCTGCAGTGGCCAGGCTGACCTGTGGATGCGGGATTTCTTGAGCGAAAAATGGTGAAAAATGCTGGTCGAACCAAGAAAAAATGATGGATTTTATGGGACTTAATTGGATTTTAGTCGGATTTTAGAGCAAGTTGATGGTTTTTTTCTGGGAATTCCACTGATCTGGATCATGATCATACATTTGTGAAAAATCACCGCTCAGGAAAAGGAATGGAAGGAATTGAATGTGGATTTAAGGTATTTAAGGAAGGTGGGATTTAAGCACAAAGATGTTGATTTTCAGTAGCAAAATAGGATTCTGCGCCATTGGTTTGAAGAACCATTCTTTTCTGTGTATGCATTGAAGAGCCCTAAAAAACATTGAAAAGACATAGATGTTCTTTGACCTATATAACCATCTGGTGAATTCTGAAGCTGGTCCCAGAGCAAGAATCAACCACAGCCGTTGCGCTCCAAAGTTCCCAGTATGATCTCCCACCTCATCGATGCCAATTTTGCGCTTCTTCATGAGCTTCAACAAAAGCAAGGCCTCCGCCATCTAGAAGTGATTGCTT